AAATTTTTCCACATGGTAAAATTTTGTTTTGTTCTTAAGTTGTTGCTTTTTATTATTATTATTGAGTCTACATGTGATAGAATATTGTTTCAGCCACTTCTGCTAAGTGTACTGGAAGGAGTCCAGATACTGCAACTGCGAACGCAAGGTCAGCCGGTGGAGCCCACCTGCTGTGCTGGGACAGTGAGGGGAGGCGGGTGGAGATGCGGTGACCGTCTCCCAGCCAAGATCCACAGACTCGGAAGCGCTGCGGAGGGAGCACTCGTACTTTGTCCCAGACCAGGGGTGCGCAGTACGTCGATCGCGATCTACTAGTCGATCTACTAGTGTGGGTAGATCGCATGGCATTAAAAAAATAGACGTAAGCCTATCATCAATCCCGTCACTTAACTGGTATACAGCGCAGTCAATCAGATCCAATCTAGGTGTCACACACGTGCGCTAACAACTGCGCTAAGTGCAGCAAAACTGACAGCTACGTTATCGCCGATTTTCGGACCTTGTTTTTTTCCTCTTAAACGTAAGAAAGGCTATTACAATGAGTGGGGAGCTGGACCAAGTAAGAAGACAAAAACGTATCCCTTTCATACGGAATGGGAGATTTTGACACTACAAGCCGACATTCAGCCGAAGTCCAGAGCGCATGCACAGTTCTGGAACTTACAGAGGGAAAGTACCAAACCATGAGAACATGTTTCATTATTCGTCTTTACTTATTTATGTGAGTCAGCCTTTTCCCACATAAAGATCATGAAGTCCAAGTACCGTTCCACCATGACTGATGACTATTTGGAAGCGTGCTTGAGGCTGGCTGTCAGCAGCTACTGTGCGGGCTATGCATCCCGGGCTCATTCCATTCAGTGCAAGTCATCAGAGTAAACTCAGGTAGTGACCAAAAAATGCACATACTTAATTATGTTGTGGACTCATGCGATCATGCAAGCTACATAAACATACATTGTACATATAAAGAATTATTGATGCGTTTATGAATAAATGTAATAAATAAATAACATGCTTTGCACTTTGTGGTTGGTAGATCGTTTTGACTTGATCCTTTTATAAGTAGCTCGCCCGCCCGCTGAAAGGTGTGAGCTCCCTGTCTTGTAGACCGCTCCACAGGATTGGTGGCTGGTGGCACAGCCTCAACTTTGGCTTTGATTTTGTGAAGGTTCCAAGGGCATTTGAGAAGTCTGTTCTCTGCTCCCAGGACAAGTCTTAGTTCTTGTATACATATTTACAAGCTCCTCTAGCTGTCTGTTAGGGATTAATAAAACTCATTTAGGGTCTCCTGTTTATAACGCATTTATCTTCGCTTATTTTTATACCTTATAAATTTTGCTTAATGGATATTCATGCTACTTTATAGAAATGTCTGACGTTAGCACCTTCATTGTGACTTGTACAGTGGATTTTGTCTGTATAAAGGGCCTTTGGGGGTCTTATTTCACGCCCCCAAATGCTGCCTCTTCTGGTGTAAGATTGTGACTTCATTTTTTTCTTCTTTTTTTAAAAATCATTTTTTGGGGGGCTCTTAAAGCTCTTATCACAATACATACATACATGTATGCATACATGCATGCATACATGCATACATACATACATGTGTCAAACACATTTGTACATATGTTGCCATCATCATTCTCAACACAAGTTCTTTCTACTTGAGCCCTTGGTATCAGCTCATTTCCTCCCTCCCTCATGAACCCTTGATAATTTATTTAAAAATTTTTTTCATGTCTTACACCGACTGCTGTCTCCCTTCAACCACTTTTCTGTTGTCTATCCCCCAGGGAAGGGGTTATATGTAGATCCTTGTGATTGGTTCTCCCCAGCTTCCCCTGCCCCTCCTGGTATCACTACCCTCATTATTGGTCCTGAGGGGTTTATCTGTCCTGGATTCCCTGGCTTTCCAGCTGTTATCTGTACCCATGTACATGCTCTGATCTAGTCGGATTTGTAAAGTGTAATTGGGGT